TCGCTTCCGGAAGGTTGAATCCCCAGCTACTCAATTCGGTGAATGTGTCTGGTGGAATGCCGAATCCCTACATGCTGACCTGTAAGTTTTGCGTTTTTGTTCATACTTTCTGATTGTTCAGTACCCCGAAGCGAAAAGAGTCGAAGTAACAACGCGCTATGCTTACGACTTGTAGCCTTGGTGCTGTTCCAAAATCGTTCATTAACTTCGCACGATGTCAGGTTATTGCATTCCTAGAGCAATCCAGTCCTTCCTTCCCCCTCTCTCTCTCTGTTATTCTGTTTCGCCTCTTAGTGCGGTGCTTTCTTACTTCCTGGTTGCATGAAATGACTGATGTGTGCCTCTTATAAAAGTTACCTGAGAAAACTCCCTTCTTTCGGTCAACTGGCCCAAGTACCGCGTAGAAGACTTTGCTTTAAGTCTTAGTCGCTTAACTCTTCTTGGCGCTGTCGCACCCACATTCCTTTCTGCGTAGCTATGGAAAAACTTACAGGGCTTCACAGAATTCTTTGTAATGTACGTACCACATGAAGTGTTTCATATGGAGTCAACATGATTTCGCCACTTACGTACAGATGCATCCCCTAGGCCGTCACCTCAACCTTATCTAAGGTCACTCAGTCCAATAGCCTACCTCTGTTACAATTCGTAGTCATTCATTTATCACCTCAGGGTCACCTTAATTTTTATTGTATCACGTCAAAGCTGTTATATTCCCTATGTAATGGTGATAACTTGGACAAAAATTTAGCTGACGTTGTTGACCATCTCGTGGGTTTCTACTACCATGAATTGCATTTCCTGTCTAGTTTGGTTTCCGTCGGCTTCTTGTCACACAACACATCGTGTTCTTTCGACTTGTGAGTATTTTTGTGAAACGAGAGTGTCAAAGAACCGCAGTCTACAGTTACTTAGTGCGCACTTGTTTATTTTCCCTCATCATCACACTCTGACCACCCGGAAGTTTGCAACACAAGTCTTTGTCGTGACCGTCGTTCTTAGGAGACATTCCACTGTATTGGATTTAACGAAGAAATGGAAATTTACAGTGGCAAAATTTAGGGATACGTTTGTCTATTATCAGTGCGCATTTCTCCACCGTTACGTTGGTGTTACACTGGCCTATGTTACCGATTGAAATGGCCTCTAGTTTCATTGTAATACCATTCGTTATCTAACCGAATTGAACACTTTTCCTTATTATTATTATTTTTTTCACTTACGCGAAGTTATGAACCATCTAATAGACGTACCGGCAATCTCAGAGGGTTGTCAAACAGCGAGGATGACTGTGTTGTGTTGAAGTTTACATGTTTCCAATTCTCCTGACGTCGCGGCCTGTCCATTCTAAGTTGTAGTTTCATGGCTGTTTTCTCGTTGCTCTCAATAGAGTGATCCGTTCGAACGTGGCGTTTCTCTGACAGTTTGTCAGTCCGTTTCCAGCAGGTGGACTGCCCATACTGTGTCAGGCAGTTGTTCAGTTCATTGAACTTCATTTCGACCGTCCACCCGTCATTTGAACTACTGCTGGGAATAGAATACGGTCCAGAGCAGTATCCGACTGTTTGATGATTGCTGTGTACGTCTGTCCTTAGATGTGTGCGCGGAGCGACTTCCGATGACCACTGTTGTACACACCAGTGATGACTGGCTAACCGGAGCAGTCTTACGAACTCAATCAGATCACTGGACTGCAGTGCATATGTCTAGACACGGAACTAGCAATTTTCGAACTTTAATTTGACCGCTAATAGGTCTTCGACTGAAAATGTCCGCTGACCCCGAGTGTGAATCTAGATGTTTCCGGATTTAACCTTCACTCAGTCCACTTCTTCACTTCCTACGTTTCCTGTATGATTATCGCTCTTAAGCTTTCGTTTGTCGTTGTTTGCTGTTAGTCACAGATTATTGACCGATCGATGGACACGGTTTGCTGACCGACCCAATCGACCAGTGGCACATAACTGTGCGCCACACCTCATTGACCGGCCAACCCTTTCTGCTCGGTTGCCACCTTAGCTGGACAGTCGTTTCCCAACCCCAGGCACGTGACCATTGTTAACTTGCACCCTCGCTTCGGTCAACGTCGTCTCGTGTATCCTATACGTACGAGCACGAATGACCTGATTTAGTGTGTGTGCATGAGTCATCATTAAAACACAGAGGCACGTTCGCACACGGTGAACCTACCGTCGTACATCAGGACTGCAGCCTAGTCAGAACAGTCTGCACACAGACGGGGTCGTAATGCTTAATGTCTAATTGTTTGTGCGGCTGTTGATAATTTATATGTGCGTTCTGCTTCCTTTTAGCCATAGCTTTCTACGTTCTGTCTGTGTGCTTACGAACGCGTACCCCACTAATCCGTTTGGCCCAAGTAACACTTGTGTGGATGGAATCTATCCCTACAGCAAGTCGTGCGTGCAACATCCCACACATACACGCATACACTCGAAAATGGAGTGTTTCGCTGGGGCTATTACAGCTAATAAATAATGCTTAACTGCTTACATTCGAGCGTTCAACTGTCAATCGTCCTCCTACTTCGTAACTGTTGTGTTTCATTTTCTCTACGCCTATTCAATTACTTAACAACAATAATTTTTTTCGTTCCTGCCTTACGTCATCACTTATTCGTCCCACAGATTTCTTAGTGCTTGGGAAAAACGGCAAATGTAGAGAGAATGCCATCCGACGTGGAGTACATCTACACCCTCAGGCGTGAGTTCGTGTCGTCAGGCCAGCATATCGTGTTAGGGCTGCACGTACTTGTGGAGCCGAACTATTCTCCACAGGGAAGATAACGAAATCTTGCAGCCGAACCGGTCCAGACCTACCACCACCTAGTGTTAACATACAAACTTAGGAATTGATCATATTCTGGTTCCGTTGTCCTACTACCTCTACGGTGTTGTAGAGAATGTGTGGAGCATTGGAAGGGGTGCAGCGGCTTATGATCAGATGATGCTGTAAACACCAGGACCCAGAAAGGGTGCTCTGGCCAATGGAAAAACGACACCGAATGAAAAATAGATTTACACCTACCAGAACGTAATAGCGATTAGTACGTGTGCGGGAGTTTCGGTCCCAACCTGGAGCTGTCACTCTAGGGCTGTTGGGCTTCTGTGACGCAATAATCCCGCGGGCTATACTGTCTGAACCGCAGTTCCTAAAGATTCAACCGTGCCAGGAAAACCGAAGGTAGGCAGTCATATCAAGATCCCGTACTACGAGTAATCATGCTAGGAGCCGGTCTGTGGGGCAAAGGCGTACGGTCTTCTGCGACAGGAGGGTGAAGGCCGTAAGTTGTTTCCCTCAGGCGACCAGCATGTGCATATTCATGGAAGCAGCCATGCTGCTTTCCTCCGAGTATGCCCGGAAAGCCGCACACTCCGACAACACAACGGTTGATCGTGACCATCGGCGCATTATTCAGTACGGTCGAATTGCTCTCAAAACTGAGTGTGCTGCTGTTCAGAAGACACCTTCTGTGTGCAGTTGTATTAGGAGTGAGACAGTGATGCGTCCTCGGGCCAGACCGGCCCCCTCTAGCCTAGTGGGTCAAACTTTCGATTCATGGGCTCCCCAAGAAAACCGCAACAAACACTCGCGCGTGCCAGACTTGAGTCAGAGACTAGTGGCAGGGTCCCCGAACAAAACTCTAGATCCTCCCGCCGCCTTGTTGGTCAGGTTTTTGAGTCAAAGGCTCCAGGTAGGGTACCTCAACCATGTCCCCCTCTTCGGCCTGGGCGACAAAGAAGTATCACTGTTCCTTAGGGATCTTCGCTCACCGTCCTTCCCCTACACCTCTCCCCAACTATCGAACGATACTGCGCGGTCAAGTCATCTGCCAGCCATTGTTTCGTGTTCAAACCTTCGCCCAGAAAAACAAACAAAAATAATCACTCACTAACCCCAAAAGTTCTGATCCACGTTGCACTCTTTGATGCCTTCACTCTCTGTCAAATTTGGCAGCACGCATCTCTTACTGTGTCTCCGAAACACTCGTACAAGTTCCATTTCGGTCGCGCACTCCAATAGGATGAGTCCAAATGACCCACATTTCACTCTGAGTATCTGGTGAGGTTGACAATGACTCGTAGTATCTACGGTATAGGAGTTTCACTCAGCTCCAGCGCTCAAAGTGCTTTCCGGAACTGGATCCTAGTAAACAGTCATCTTTGCGCTGTGCGCTTGCCTGGCCCAATTAAGATCAATGCAGGTTGATGCGCTAAGTGGTGTTTATTTGTCATATCAGCATACACTTCGACAGACTGCAGTTATGAGACTGAAGAATCTGTCGAGACGGCTTCGGTCAGCAAAGAGGACTGATATAGTAACCCTGGGAGTGCTATGAATGCTCAGTTTGGACGAATAAATCTCGAAGAAGGGAACGAAAGAAGTTCGAACGTAAGAAGCTGGCCAGGGCTCGTCATGTACAGAAAATATATGACTTTATTCCATGTGAAACATCTTTCACTACCACGGTCGAATGGTATGTAGTGCAGTTCAGGTGTCAGATCTACCATTTTCAAGCTCGAGATAGATCATTGGTTAAGGCACGGACTTACTGACTGGAGCGTTCGTGGTTCGAACCCGCCCTCCGCATGTCCACTGATCCTGCTTAGGCTTAGGCAGTCTGACACTATCCCAACCCTCGTGCTTCCTTGGGCATGGCAGTTAGGCACCGAAAGAGTGCTACAGGTGGTGATGGTGATGAAGGTGATGACTCGCACTTAGACAGGAGGTCGCGGATTCTAGAAGCTCGGGTGTTTCGTGAGATGCACACTGCTGATGAATCCCAATCAGAATGAAACAGCTGTACAGTGCTTCTCGGCTTTTCAGCATGGATTGGCCTTAATTTCAGGACGAAAGCTCCTCACATTACAAACAGATCTCGAACGGCTTTAACCCCATCAACTTGAATAACAACAAAATACCGAACACATTTGGGTAAAATCGGAATAAGTATAATATCAGGCTCAGCCAACTACTGCGCTCTTCATTTATTTCCATGTGAATCACTCATGAAGAAATGCGGACAGACTAGTCGCCCAAAACGGTGTTTGGTTGGTGCAACTGAGCAGACCAGGTTGGAAGAATGCGCGAATAAACTCTCAGTTCCACTGGTTTGTTCAAATACGAATTGAAATTTGTGGAAGTTTAGAGACTGGAATGTCTTGTGATCCCAAAAAGGCAAAACTGTCATCAATCATATAAATAAGTCCGTATCACGTGCTTGGCATAGACATTACCAAATGACTGCCTATTGCATTTGCAAAAGGTGTCCTTGGGAAAGCACTGATGTCTGGTTTTGTGTGAACCAAGTAGAATGGTCCATTCTGAGGTATTCATATCGAAATATACCTAAAGAAACAGATACACCTAAGGGAGTGAGTGAGGGAGGGGAAGTAATGAATAGGAATGAATTGGAACTCTGGATAATCTTTTGCTTATGCACAATTGGCTATTCCCTTTGACTTTCCACCATGTTTCTTCGTTTACAGTACATGTATTTTGGAACCACTTTCTACTGTTTTCTTAACGGAACCAGCTATTCAAGAGGCTGCTGAAAGCCCTTTGGTTGTTGTTGTGAGTGATGGATGGAATTGTTGCCTAACTGTAATTGGATGCGGGCGGTGAGTAGACCTAGGTAACAGTTCGCAGCAGCTTCCCACACTTCATAGATCGGATTAATTGCTGAAAAACCGACAGATACATCATTCTTCAACTTTCTTCCATGTTAAAAATCGGAAACCCATGGATCATCGATTATTTTAGGGCAATCTCTGTAAACCACCTTAGGGCGAGCAGAAAATACTAACTTGAACTCCGCGCGTTCCGTACCGAATTACCAGTGACCTAATCGTATTCTGCGATTAATCCTAGTTCGGGCTGTGGGACCGAATGTTCCATTCAGTTGTCCGAATAATCGGTGTGGGCCTTGGCAGTTCATTGCCATATAGCCATAGAAAGTATAGTTACGAATACAGTAGAGAGGAATAAAGGAGGCAGATGGGGAGTGACAAGCATATCGTCGACGTTCCAAAATCCATTCAAACGGTCTGGGTAGGGTCTGATAGCGCACGTCCCAGCAACATTGATGGGGTGCCGTTTCTTGCCGACTCTTCACTTGAGCGCACCAACGGCACCCAGTTTCCGCATCCCCATTGATACCTTCTTATCAGCCATATTTATTATCACCTCGGCTGCAAACTGTGCACCCGTCAGCTTACGCTGAATATTCACATATCTGTAATCTTTAGCTAGTTTCTAAATTTTATCAATGCGCGACACTCCCGACATTGTCTGGCAGCTGCATTGATCTTTCCGTTACAGTCCCACGCTCTCTTCTCCATTCGTTTTGACACAGCGTTCATTACTGTACACAGTTCTGTCCAGAACTATTGTGAACAAAGCTGCTTGTTGACATTTCCCGTCATATCGTCTATGCTACTCTGTTTCTACGTTGCGAACTTCTGTAGCAGAGGCCAGCAGTCAACAGGCGACTACAGTTTATTAATGCTTATGTCCAGGCTGCAATTATATTACTTTCACAAAGGACAAATGAATGTGAGCGAACGCTTTCTTCGACCAGCCTGATTGCAAGTCCACGTTCAGGTCTTTTACCCACCCACCCCGCACCAGCCTCTCTCGGTTCACAACAGTCGTGTGCAGACTGTTGAAGACGGCTTGTTTACTCAGCTTTGTTTACTGAGTGCTTTCTTGGACGAGTGCCATTATCCACACGTGACTTCTGGTAGCTACAACAGTCCACGGCTACCCTATGCTTGGTCTGTTTGCTCGAGTACATACCCTACAATATGTGGATTGCAGTGACCCTTTCTGTCCTTAATTTAGTGGCGTAGATAGTTTCTGAAGGAAACTACTCACCAAGTTTCTGAAAACTCTTCGAATATCGCATACGAGAGATCCAGGTGAGTTTCATTTAAATCTCCCGTGAAAACCAGATTGGTATGCAAATAAGTGCATTTGTCGTAGGTGGCTTCTGATTTATTCAAATGTGACTGTCTTCTAACGTCATTAAGCCCACCTACATGGTCCAGCTGCAAATGCTCAAACCAAACAAACACGCTGAGTTCTGTTCATTTTGTTAAATCCTAATGTGACGAGCAATATGAAGATCTTGACACAAAGCGCCATATCTTCGGGCAGTGTCTTTTTTATGTAACCACAAGATATTCACTCTATAAAGTCCAAGTAGTCATTTGACTCAGCATAGAAGCGGTAGGTTTGTCATTTCGTGCGCCTTCCACAAGAGTCAACTTCTCAGGTCACAGCTGACTTGAGGAGTTGTTCTTGATACCTTAGGCTTCATCAAATTCACGTGCTTTTCCCTGGTTTTTGGAGCCTAAAGTGAGGTTGAGTCTGGTAACCGTGGGAGAAACAGCGCGAAAAAGATGGAAGACGCTACATAACACAAGTGGTTGAAATGCATTCGGTTTGAGGCATTTTTAAACTTTGGCAGGGTGGTGGTGCTCAGTCAAACAGAAGGGAGTCACTGGCCCGTGAGTGGGTGTCAGGGGTACGTTAACGCCCCGTGGGGTGCTGATGAGTGGTGTAACGTTATTCAGTGTGTACACAGTGCTGAAAATTTGTTCTACTTCGCTAACACTGCTCTCTTGAGGTGATTAATTCCCCCGTCATCATTGATCGCAGCACTCCTTATTGAACTGATACTTCATCGTCTCACTTTTTAGGTTCACCCAGCTTAATCGAAGAAGCCACAGCTACATGAAATGCTTGTTTCGTTGATTTAACATGCGGAGCAAAATACAAGAATTGTTGCACTCCTAGGGCCACGGTCCCTGAAGCTTCGCACGGTATCTTGGGCTTCTATAGCGAAATAGTGTCACCATCTTTCCTACAATTACGGGCGCACTAAGTTCGATAATTCATCCACGACCACCAACATCTTAACATAGCCCTACCTAAAGGAAACTACTCACAAGGTTGCTAAAAATTCTTCGACAGCCCACGACATGTTTCCTTTATGAGAATATACTGAGATATCTCGAATATCGTGCCAACTGAATCAAGGGGCGGCCTGTGTGCAGCACATTCAGTTGGAAGACATCATAAACGAGAGATTCAATCGAGTCTCCCCGTGAAAACCCAATTTGATTTGCAATGAGTGTATTTCTCGAAAATAGCCCTACCTAGTTAGCCGACCATTGTGTTCTCTTTTGGTTCCGCTGTTTCTCCTTGTTCTGTATAGGTCACTAAAACAGCTAATGCTGCTAGCATTCATCAGTCTCCTAACCACAAGCGCTTGTCGGTTTGCTTCATTCGCAAGCGATCGCTTTCAATTAAATTCGTAACTGATGATGTAGACGTGGGACCTTTTAAGGACTTGTGGTTAAATATTTGACATTCGAATGATAATCTTGGAATTTCTCTCAATCTATTTTAATGAGAGTTTGACTTGAGGGGAAGATGAGAAGTTGTTCGGAAAAGTTCTTAGCAGCGAAAAACACGATACATTGTACTCATTGGAACTCGAGTACTGCATAACGGAAGGTTAAAATTCCCGATTAAGTCATAGCGATAAAATGGATGACCGGTCCTCGAAAAACCCGCATCAGTTTCTCCGGCAAGCTGTGTAGACCATAAGCTGCGGGGAGCGGTGTGTCAAAACACAGTTTCGGCAATCGCTATTACTAGGGAATTTTGTTAGAGAAGACAGGTTGA